ATACTTTTATTAATATCCTTTTTAAATATTCAAATATAAGTTTAAATTAAACCAAATTGGAAATAAAATGAAATAAATAAAATCTTTGTCTTCAAAAAAAATAATATAATTATTTATAACTGTATTAAAAAAAAGGATATTAATTATTTATTAAATTTTCCATAAATTGAACATGTTTGAAATGGATAAATATGTCTTTAGTGGTTGCTTCTCGATTTATAAATAACTTTGATAATCATTTCGAGTAGTTATACAACAAACTACCGCAACTACTTTGTGCCTGACTTGGCATGTATTGTGATCACTTGCTAGTAATCGTGAAGAAAAATTATATATCCTTCAAAGGTTTAAGACATGTACGAAAGTTTTATACTTTTCAGAAACTGTTTTCAACTATCGAGCTGGATATATAAGTCTAATAAAACATTATTATCTAATCAAAAATTATCTAAAAATTACTTTTAATTTAAAATAGTTTTGTTTTCTTTTGAATTTTTATATTTTCAATATTTCTCCACTTTCTTTATTATTTTATTTTCTATATTTCCAAAAGATTATAAGATTACAAATTATTGGAAATTTTATTATGCTATGTCATCAATTGGTATTGGAAAAAGGTAGAAATTCCAAGTATTCCAAGACCTAATTAGAATTTCCCTCTAGAACTCCCTTCAATCATAGATGATTCGATAGAAGTCAATCCAACTGTAGAAGAACTTCAAAATTTTTGATAACGAAATGTTTGAATTATATTGCTTTTCTATCCAATTAGAAGATATATAAAAAATAACAATTTTCAGAATATTTTCCATTGATCGAATGGAAATATCGAATAGTAAATGTAAGCGTTGTTTGAACAACGATCATCGAACTCTGGATGGAATTGCGACGAGGATAAAACTCCCACAGTTGGCATACATTTCATAGCACTCGTGGGATTCGTCCTGAAAATGGAGAACATGAAAGACTATAGCCCGTTCTATGGAAATATGCAATCGTTCTGCGGAAAATTCACGGTGTGTAGATCAAACGAGTCGGTTGGAAGTTATTGAAGCGAGAAAAAGGAGAAATTCAAGGGTCAATGACACGAAAAATATTCTCGTTGAAACATCCTGAAATCCTTTGAGCGATCATTTTTTTACCTTACGATATCGTCGACGTTTTGTGAAACGAGGAAATTTAGAAAATTTATCATTCCTTGATAAGCAATTTGTATTTTGTCCTTATCATAAGTAAATAAAATAATTTATGAATTATAATAATTTTTAATAATTCTTAAATTAAAAATATTTTTATATTTTATACTTTTTTTACTTTTTACTATTTCATACTTTTTTTAAATATATAATATAAGATTTAACAATACAAATTGCTTATTTGCAATATAATATTATTTTGTTTGATTTATATTCTCGCTAAACAAAAAACAATTAAAAAAAAATAAAGCTATATTCGATAAACGAAGAAAGAAATACTCGATGGATGGATTCACGCAAGAAATGTAAAATGAGAATAAGTATGAAAGCACTAAATATTTGTGACAAATATTTATTTTGATTTCGAAATGGCGTTCATGTATTCGACGAAATAATTGAATGAGACAGAAAAATTGCTGATAGAAATGAATTTTATTTGCTTCTCGTTTGCATATAAAAGTTTTATATGTTAAAATACACGAAAAGACGAGAAGTGAAGCTAGAATCGCTCGATTGTTTCTGAATTTTTTAATCCTTTTTGAATAATAAAATATATAATGTAATAAAGATAAATTAATTGATTATCTCTCAAAATAAACATACAACATCTTTCGAATCTATACTAAAAATCACTGTGAAACGTAAGAATTTTTAATGAAGTTAAAAATTATTTTATTAGTAAAATAAATACACGATATTAGAGATTTTAAAATTAAAAAAAATGAAGTAAAAAAATCAAGCAATGTAAATGGAAAAAAAGAGTAAACAATCTAGAATAAATTTCTTCTGATAATTGAGACTAAATACCGAATTGTTTGCTTCTCGTTTATACTCAAACTACGAAACGAAAAATCTATTTGCGTATTTCATACTGAATTGAGATCACATCAAGAAATAGTTCCGAATACTGCACTTTTCTGTACTTCCGACGATTTTCTGCTTCGAAAATTACTACCGACATTGAGAAATTTTCACGATAATGCGACCGGAAGAGGAAATTGAAAATAAGCGTAAATAAGCAAATCCTGTATTTGAAAAATGCTAATGGTTGTCAAAGGAAATATAAAAATAAATATAAAAGTATGAAATTAAATAAATTTGAATCTTTACATCATTACGTATTTTAAAAAGCAAAGTTTCTAATGATTCCTTATTCATTGGCCGGAAATTATTATCTTCAAAGTTATATATAACTTCAACATTTTTCTAATTTTAATAATATTTAATAGAATTTAAAATTGATTAAAAATTAGCTTGTTTTTGCATGACAATATCTTGGCAATACAAAGTCGAATTGGAATAAATGAAAAAGAGATTTAAAGTGCAAGATTTGGCACTTTTAATAATTTTTATTCGTTGATATAAAATCATTATTTTTGAAGTTAAATTTATCCTAACTTTAATAGAAAATTCAATCGAATTTTTCAATCGAGATAAATTACAATAATAAATATGTTTGTTCCTAAAAAATATGTTTATAAAGATCTTATTAATTGAATGTTGAAGATTCTAAGTTAATTTAAATCCTAAATCTTTTATTTGAAATAAGTTAAATATGTATTTAATCGATCTTTGAATTTGATTACATTAATTCATCAAAAGAGTTTTATAAGATTCATAAAAAAAGGAACAAATAAAAAAACCGTGCATTATCTTAACATCATTTTCTAATCCAATAATCGTAAAACTGAATTTTATATAGATTACAATGCGTTTTTAAAAAATCGATTAAAGATTTTATAGATGGTACGTACGCATGTCATGAAAATCATTGGCCAGAAAAATGACAGAAAGGAAAAGAGTAGGGGTAGAAAACGAGGGAAATAAAGATCACGTATCTCAGAGAACGAGTTCCCTTTTATAAAACGTCATAGATCACCTTTATTGTTGTTCTATGTAACACGTGTCGCTGGTTTTACAAAATCAGGAATCTCGTACATGTACATATGTATAACTTTACATATTTTATATATATAGTTTTCCTCTCTTTTTATTTTTTTTTATGTTGCATCAACATGTATACGTGTTCTACATCACGTGTAATTTTTTCGATTACATCGAATAGAAAAATCGTTCGAACTCTCGCTTGATGATTTTTCAAATAAATAATAAAAAAAAGATAAAAATATTATATCATAGTAGAATGAATTATTTATTTGCTTTCTTTTCATTTAAGTAGAAATTAATTTTTTAACTAATTCAATATACTGATTTAAATTAATTGAGTAAAAAATTTAACTAAATTTTGTAAAATATAAATCTGTGTTACTATTTCGTTAAAATATTTTCATGAAAACGAACATTCTATCGAATTGAAATGAAATGCCGGACGTTACGCAAAACAACATGCTCTAAAACATATTCTTTTTTATGGAATACCAAATTTTATATTACGAATAAGCTAAGCGTATTATAAAAATATTTATAATACTTAATCAATTTTTAAAATTACAATGATTAAAAAAAATAAATAATCCAATACCTCTTCTCCACAAAAATTTATCTTTACAATTTCTCTCTTTTCCTATTTTTCTATTCTTTTCATTTGAATCAATTCAAAAATAATTGATATACATCTATTCAAAATCATTGAAGATCCTTTCAATACACAATTACATTTTCACGTTATTTTTTAATATATAAAAATCATTCCTTCAAAACTATGCTTTGCTTCGATTTTCACTCTTTTTTCATTCACTTGATCACTTGTCAAATTTTCACTTGTTTAAAGATTCTGTTACAGAATCATGGCGATAGTCAAGAAACAGTATCTAAGATTTTCGCGATAAGGCTGATATCAATGCAGAGAAAGAGAGAGGGAGTGATAACCGGTGGAAGCGCGATGTGATCGATGCGACGTGGGTCACGGGAATCACACAATGCTCGTTATTGAGCCATCTAACCGCATTGCACGCGCACACAGCCGCGAATCGGCCTCGTATAAACACACGGATCTGCGGCCGGAAAACAATATCTTTCCAAACGCTAATAACGAATGCTTCGTTTCGTTATTGCGTCGAATACAAGGAATATTTCATAACGATTTAACGTGTATACGGATGATGTTACCACGATGATTCTTTGCTGAGTTAATGCGGTGAAAAGTTGGATGAAAAAAGGGGTTGGATTGAATGAGTAAAATGAGTTGGGTTGATGATGAGTTGAAGAGTATGAAAAGAGGTCACGAGGTTTGATTGAATACGGTTGAAAATTGGATTTTGAGAATATGAGAATAGATAGTTTATTGTAAGAAAAGTAATAAGTATTTTGTATCATTGTGGATATTTTTTGAAAATGTTAAATACGATTTTGATTCGAGAAAAAAAATTTTCGAGAAAGAAATTCGTTTCGATTACAATACATTTTCCCAAAGTGCCACTCGCCATCCTGGCTTTTGATCTTTAATTGATTTTACGAGAAACAGGGCGCGCAGCGATGAAACTAGGTGAAAAATTGATTAAACTGGTTATTGACCCGCGTGCTTTCATGTTACTCCTTTATTCATATATCGCGCTTTTTCAATTATCATTCTATAAGTTATCATAAATCAATAAGTTCCCAAATTTATATCAATCTTACTCAACAACATTATACTCAATAAACAATATATTCTATAATCTTTATCTTCCTTGTAAATTCCAATAATTTGATATTCAATTATTAAATACATTAATCTTCTTATTATCTTATTATTTTAAATATTAAAATAAGTGATCAATTTTCTTTCAATTTAAAAATTTGAGCAAATATATTGGAAATAATATTGGAATTGAAAAATTTCCACACGAAAACTACATTTGTCAGAGTGTCATAAAGAAATTTAATGCGCGCGAAGAAGAAAGCCACTGTAAGAATTCAACGAGGAATCGTAAAAATTGTCAGATGACAACGTAAGAGGAAACTAGACTAGCGCACATAGGGATGTCAGGTTCAAAGAACGAGAAGCCACAGTGTCGTGAAGACGAAGACGGCCGGCGGTAAAATAGCCGGGAAAATTAGAAAAGCCGCAACAAGGCGCGGTGATCCGGGTCTCTTAATGACAAAGCTGCTCGGCCGTATCGTTTCTGAGATTTTTCGCTCGGCCCTATCTCCGTTTCCCTCTCGGCATCTGTAATCTGGGTTACTCTACAATTAAGGTCAGGACGGTGGAGCAGCGCTCGAAATAAGACAGCGCCGGAACAGAGATTGCACTCGACGATGAAATGATGCACTGCCGTGCATACGCGCGCAACGCCTCGAGAATTCGATGTGTCGAACAGGAACAGGATGGTGTGATATATCGTTCGATGAAGTATGAAATGTCTTAACAAGTTAAGTTTGTCGAAGTTAAAGTTTCTCGTTTCATGTTTAAACGGATACATAAACATTTAAAGGGATGTCGAGTGAAAATTGGTATTGAGAAAATGTTTAGATTGTCTATGCGCACTTCTGAATTATGATTTATGAAATATTTTAACAAATTGGTCAGTTTGTTGTTTCAAGAGATAAATGAAAATGAAAATTCTCTCTCTAAAAGAATATTTTTGAGAAAAATTTGTAATTGTTTAAGTAAACTTTGAATCCTTCGTGAATTGCTCCTCTGCATTCTCTGTATTTACTTACTTACCACTAATTTACATTGGAGAAGAGGTATTATTAATAAAATCAAGAAACATCGGAGTTAAAATTTCAAATTCCATCAAAATCTCAAGTCATTAATAATTAAGAAGAAAGTTAAATTAAACGTAGAATTAACTGTTTCCCGTAAAATGATAAATCATAAATTAATGGATGATGTATCGCACCTACCCCTATACACATGTGCAAAACCGAATTCCTATATCTGACGATCTCTCTTGACGCCCGTCATTTGATTTCAATCCCAGCTTCTGATTTGACTTTCATGGATATTCAGATCGTTCTGGCTCTAGGCGAGAGCTCGATCGATTCCAAATTTCGCGTTTCCATATCTTCCATCCTCGTATACGATTCCTCTTTACAAACATTTCTGTAGAAATATCGATTAACGACGATATCGATCTATGTCGATCGCACGAAATAAAGTGTCTCTCTCTCTCGCAATCGATAAAACTCAACAGCGCTATAATATAATATATATATCATGTATGTATATGTATATGTATATAATTAGTAGAAACGAACCCTCTGCGGTTTAGACCAGCTAAATGCCAACATCGGGCGGCTATAGAATACTCTTAACTCTCGATAACATATCGCTTTTGTCTTAAATTTCCATTCAGGATTTTTTTCGTTTTATTTTTTTCTTCTATTTCCTTTTCTTCTTCCGCTTCATCGTTCATTTCTTCTCCTTTTTTTTCTTTCGCTAGGCTACAGCTTTGCCTAATTTACAATGGCGTGTATCTGTAGACAAGTATACTCGTGTATCTGTATGAGTAGGATTCTGTATGTGTGTATGTGTATGTGTGTGTCTGTATATTCGATTATTTTAAAACGTAGCTACGTAAGTAGTTTACGGGAACAAACTTCCTTAAACTTCTCTCGTTATTTTTCTATCGATCATCTCGATGAATTAAGAAGAACATCCATGATAGACATGATGGATAACAATTGATTAAATTACGTTGTTATATATATATATCTTTTTTTTTCTTTTTGTTTAATTTCAGATGTTTAAAAAGAGTCACGTTATATCAAGATTGTTCTTCTTCGATCAACTTTGAAAATACATCTCGGTTAAAATGAACTGTTCCTCTAAGACACCCTACGAGGGTGTACAGGATTAGCTGTCGGGGATTAGCGTACAAAATTCTTAACGAAATTTCGGCTCGTTACTCGGTTAAATATCTCTAGAATAACTTTTTTTTTATCTTTTTCGATTTAACGATTTAATTCCTAAGAATTCTTTTCTCTTCCTCCTGTTGCTTCGATTTTGGTACGTTAAACTCGTGACCATAATTTTGTTTCTTTTTTCTTATTTTATTTCGCGATAATGGTCTTCCATTATACTTGGTCAGAGCTTTCCTCCGGCGTATTATAGATAAATCGTAATAAATCGTCGACAAATTCTGTTTGAAATCATCTTCGAAATCATTTTCCTTTTTTTTTTGTTCTCCTTTTTATTTAATTTATTCATAGTTCAAAATCGTCGACGATCAGGCAGCTCAATTTTCATCGAAATCTTTTGATTGGCCATGCCGGTTTGTTCTTTTGATTAGAGTTGCAAGCCTGGCAGTGCCCATATATGTATAATTAATTAACACAGGGAACAAACCTCGTTCGTTCACGATTTTTATTTGTATCTTTTGATTGAGTGATGTTAATTACTCGTGAAGGAACGATGCGTGTCCCCGAAATCTTAGAATCTAACGTTATCTACATTACTCTTAAGCTAGTTTCAATCTCTACGAGTTTCGTCTCGTGAAAAAGAAACGTTTAATCCTTATGGGGTTGAAAAAGGTCCTCTTCGTGAGGATGAGTATCGTAAACATAATGTTAATTCTCGAAGCAATTCTCTCGGCTACGAAAGCATTGGATAACGATAGTAGCGTTTAAATGTGATTCCATTATTGAAATTAAGATCGTTGGACTGCGGATGTTAGTATATTTATGGAAAATTTATAGAATATAAACGTTGTGTAATCGAAGAGCTATATATAACATTGGATATTATATTTAAAAAAATAGAGAGATATTGAATATCTAGAAAATGAAACAATTTATTTAGTTGCTTTCGTAAAAATATAAATTTACATCCGCAATCAAATATTTAAATATACGTATCTTATCAGTAAAATAAAATTCCGCATAATTATCATAAATATTATTAAGCATCAAAAAATAATAAATAAATGAGAAGAAAAATAATGATTATAAATTTTTCTGTAATTAAGGATGAACTGTAATTACCGTATTTGCCATTTTTTCTTTTTGGAAGACATTATATCTATCGGGGAAATGCAAAAATGATATTTCAATAATAATAGATATTAATATAAAATAATCCTTTAAAATTGTTTCTTCTCGAAGATATTAAATTTCATTTTTTAATTTTATATTTCACCAAATGAAATACATTTCTATGAATGATGAATATATATATATGTTTATTATATATTCAAAAAATATCTTTATATCGTTTGATAATTTTAATCAAAGTGTCCAAGATTTTCACAAAAGAATTATCTTAATTTTAATTTGATTTTAATCTTATTATTATATATTGCTAAATATAATAAAATAGTTAAAATAATACGTATCATTTCAAATGATTACTTTTATACTTTTATTTCAAATAATAAAATGATTAATTTTTTTCTTCGACCAATTACTTGTAAAATCACTTTAAAAGAATAAAAAAGAGGAACAAGTTAATTACATTACTCGATCGATGCAAAGTGAACTTGAATGTTGTCCTTTATAACCGCGATTATTCAAATGCATTTAATTAAACGAAAAAAACGATCGAAGTTTGATTCATGCGTCGCATGCAAAATAGATTCCGTGAGGTTGATTGCCTGAGTCTCGGTAAAAAATATATTACCGTCCAACTTGGCTCAATGTTTCTACGCTTACACCATGCGAGAAGATTGATTTTCGACATTACGTTTCGACGGTAAAGAATGCGAGGGACACAAAATTAGTTCCGTTTCGCGCCTGTTCCTACATTATTCCTCCACATAAAACATTCTTCGAACATCCATTTACTATCGCTTTTTTTACGGATATTAAAAAATTCCAACGTCTATTTAATTCTTTCAAACTCGATTTTTCTTTTCGAAGGAAAAAGTTTGATTGCAAGTTTCGTATCATTAGAAAAAAAAGATGAAAATTCCTAATTTAAAGAATTATTTTAACATAAAATATTTTTAAAAAATTTGAAGTTGTTTAATTGTTTCATCGAATATCGATTTATCTCAAAGTTTAAATAGTAATAAATTTTCTTTAATCCAAATATAAAGGATATCAAAATAAAAGATAATTATCTTTCCTTCTTTTATTACATTTATTCTTAAAATATGTTCCTTTAATTCTTAAGCTCCTTTAAATATTCAATAATATTCAAATTCCTGGTCATATGTGCTTAATTTTCATTCGATTATAAGGGCATCTTGTATATTACGAATCGATGTTGTTTTTCCCCGAATATAATCGTGATATAATGGACATATTGTATAATTAGAGGCAATTTGCATCGTTAACGAGTATCGTACAGACAATCGAATCGAAAAACTGATCAATATAGTTATATCAATAGTAATGTGGTTATGGACTTGATAAACGATAATGCGTACGTGGAAATTGACCACCATTAAGTATCAAACTAACAAAGTAAAACGACATTACTGTGTGTAACCAATTGCAAACACGTAAATTGAGAATTGTATATTATAACATTCGGCATGATCAATGCACAACTATGCGTTAATAGTGAAATAAACGTAATTTCTGAATGACGGGAATGAATCTCTGATAAATTTAAATCCTATCTATTTCTTCATTAACTATTCAAAATCGCTCATTCATCTTTATGCTAACGTAAGGAAGTAATTAAATAATATTTATTAATTGTTTCATATTGTCTTTAAAATAAATCAATCATCAATCATCGGAATATTTGATTATTTAAAAAGATAATAAATAACAAATGAAATTTTCCTTCTATTAAATTGAATTTACAAAATATTTATAAAAAATTTATAACATCACGTATAACCAATATTACTAGCAGTAAAATTTTTTGTATCAATAGATTATACGTGAATCATTTTAAAAATTATTGGTATTATTTTCAGTGCAATACGAAGTACATAAAAAATTAATCAATATGAAACAATAAAAAAAAATATCGTATTAAATTGAGATCGTAAATAATTCCTAAAATTAATCATCCAATTTCCAATACCATTTTTTTATTAAAAAAATAAATAAACATATTTTCATATTTTCTCAAATTTACAAAAACGATTCAATAATATTTATTTATTTTTAAAAAATTATAAATTAGTCGTTGAAAAAAATAATTACTTTATTTCATAATTAAAAAAAAGAATGTGAAAATTTAAATTGTTTCAATAAAAAGAATGGAATGTATTATTACGTGAAAGTTAGTATAGAAGTGACCACGTCATCGTTGAACATT